TAAGTAAGTAAGTAAGTAAGTAAGTAAGTAAGTAAGTAAGTAAGTAAGTAACATAGCATTTCAAATCTATTGTTCTGTAAGTATCCAAACCTGTTGTTTCGTAATGTTAAAGGCATCATTGTAAGATGTAAACTGTTTGTAGTAAATCTATCTTTTGCAGTTGGCTGTTGGTGATTTTGTCAATTCAAATAATGTTCCTCTTATTTTGGGATTGCACTCCAAGCACCTATTACTATTAGTACTACCTTTGCTTTCTTGCCACAGTCATTCTACTTCTATTTGCAGGTCTTTGTATTTTCTTCCAGTTCTTTCTCTTCTCTTCTGCTATCTCCAGATGCTGCCACATCCATTATCCAGACTTCATTGTCTTTTCTATTGATAATTGTTAAATCTGGGGTGCTATGGGGCAGGTTCTTTGTCCAAGAACTAGTTTTCATCTTCTTTTTTCTATATTCTGTATTATTTTTCTAGAATATTCTATTCATCTGTAGTCCCACCAATTCTTAACTTGCAGGCAAGTATAATTTTTTGCAAATGTTATTGTTGTTGTTGTTGCTGATGTTGTTATTTCAGTGGGAAGAGACACTGACAAATGCTATATTTTTCTAAATATATTACAGTATCCTCATCTTTAAAGATTGCCAAAAAAATTATCTGAAAATTATACTGATTTGTAGTATCAGGATATAAAGACAAAATGTAATAGAAAAGGTTCTAAACAGCATCATTTTCACAGTTATTATGGAAATGTCATCAGTGCCTATTAACTGCTGCACATTAATTAGTATGTTTTCTCTATATATGGATGTATATATTTGTATATTCATTTCTACTCATTTATTTCATAATATATAGTCCAAATAGAAAAACAAGTAAAAATTACCAGACATTTACATACAATATGAAGGAAGTTCCTTTATTTTCTGCTGTGGTAGCACTTGGCAGATTCAGGAATAAATAATCATTTGTAGTGAGGGTATGCCTTATCAAACATATGCAGATCAGCACTAATTAATGCTAATTAACGTTTCCTGTCTATCTAGTTGGAAAAACGTCCAAATGTTATGAAATCAGTTAGTATGCCTATTACCCTAATTGTTTTATGTGGGATGGATCTTAATTAAAATATGTAAATTGATCTTAATTGCCATATACTAATGGGGGTTCATGTTATCGCTCCAGAAGTGACAAGATTGTGAGTAGGGATACTTAACCGAATACCTCTACGAAATCCTTAACCAAATGGCCTTTACCTAAAATTGTTTTCATTTTAAATCTGTAAATTTACATACTTCTACAAATGATTTTCAGTGTAGGTGATGTTTCCAAACAACACAATAATGTTAATGATTATTTACAAATTTAAATCTGAAATATCCTTTAAATCTTTCTTATTGAATGAAATGATCATGCAACATTTTTATTCAAAAAGCTGCATGAATAAAATAATCAGAATGCTTATGGATTATATTTTCTATTTAGACATAATATACAGTTTTTAAAGAAACATAAGGGCTGAAATTTGCCTAAAGGGATTGCCTATTGTCTACAAATCCTGCTTCTCACTTCTAATGTAGACTGTATTTAGTGAACAGTACAAGAATAGTTGTCTGCCACCAAACTGAATGTTTGCATTTGAACATTAGAGTTTATCTACTGAGGGAATTCTGCCTGAATGTATTATTTATTCACTCATATTTAGTAATCATGAATGAAGCTAAAATTTAAATCAGGTTCAAATATAGCAAGAACATTAAAATACAATGTAGACATATATAAGAAGTAAACAAAGATTTATTTGTTTATTTATTTGTTTGTTTATTATGCCATTCACCTCCCCTACAAGGTGACTCTGGATGACTTACAGATTATAATAGCAAAAGATAATTGAAAGCAGAGGTGGTATTCAGCAAGTTCTGACCAGTTCTGGAGAACCTATTGCGGAAATTTTGAATAGTTCAGAGAACCAGCAAATGCCACCTCTTGACTGGAGATTTTACAGTATGCTTCCCCTGCCACGCCCACCAAACCACGCCCACAGAACTAGTAGTAAAAAAATTTAAATCCCACCACTGGTTGAAAGATTAAAATAATATAGAGTTAAAATATTATTAAGAACTATTCTAAAACTGAACTAAGAGAGCTAAGTGCCTGACAGGATGGGATGAGGTCTTGTAATTCCGTCACCCAGCACCAGAGAACCTCAGAACAGCTGGCAAAGCCAGGTTTTGATACTCTTCTGGAAAGCCAAAAGGGAGGAGAAAGTTCTCACCTCCAGTGGTAGAATGTTCTGGCCACAGGAGAAAAGGTTCATCTCCTTGACCCAGCCTGTTTCCATTTTTTAGCAGATGGGATCTATAGCAGGCCTCTTCTGCGGGCACAAGTGGGACGGGCTAGTCACATCAGGGAGAGACAGCTCCTCAGATAACCTTGACCCATGCCATAGAGGGCTTTAAAAGTAACAACCACCACCTGAATGAAATAAAGCAAAGCAAAAACTTGCTTTTTTTAAAGCAAAGCAAAAAATATATCAAATGAAATAAAAATAATAAAATAAAAGATTCCTTCATGTCATCATCACAATTTAGGTTACTTTAAGCTTTTTTATGACAATAGTAGCCAATAAGTATTTAGCAACTCTCTTTGTACTACCAGGGTTCCTGTCCAAGAATAGAAAATAAACCATTTCCCCCTTCCTGAAAACTTGATTTTTACAAGGAGATAGTTTAGGTAATGTGTGCTTGCTGGTTTTGTAATCAACATATTAATTGATTATTATTATTAGAAGTAGTAGAATGATAGTAGTTATCATTCATAAAAATAATAAAAGAACCCAGTATAAAATACAGAAAGTCTTCCTCTAATGACCCTAATTGGGACTGGAATTTACATTGTTAAGCAATGGAGCTGTTAGGTGGTGGAGCACAAAGCAGCAGGGGTAGCAAGACTGCAGAGTGGCTGACATAATTGGAATGCAGCATAGCAAGAGTAGCAGGAAAGTGAGAGAGAACAACAGGTGTAGCCAGAGCATGCCAGGCCTAAGCCCAAAGATGCCACAGTGAGATCCATTTGAGTCCAAATCTTTATGGGCTCTTCCAGTTTAATCTTGAAAGACTAAAGTTATAAGCGGCTAACCTAATAGATACATAATAGATGTGAGATTCTAAGGTGGGACTATCCTGAAACTTTTCCTTCCCCTACCATCTAGTACAGAACTATGCAGTCTCTGATCTTGGGCCTTCTGTGGAATGTGCTGACTCCTCCATGGGAAGCCGCAGTGCTACTGCCAATTGCTTCTCCCTCTATTCCATCTTCAGCTGTACATTCTATTACAGGGCAGTAGCGTGCAAGGCAACCAAAAGGGTATAGGTATGGGGAAGTCAGGTGAGTGGGAGGAAATTGAAGCTCACCTGTGGTCATAAATGTGGGAGGTCTGCCAAGTGCCCAGTTTTGATTTGGACACTGCCGCAGCCATAACTTTGAGACCGGGCATAAATATCATTCAATCAGCGCCATCATAATTTGGGTTGCTGAACAAATCATTAAGCAAGGACTACCTGTGTGCATTCCTAGAGGGAAAAGTTTCAGAATTAAGAAGTAGAAATATTTTTTTCTTCGCTCAATTTGAATTGCTAATTTTTATTTTTTACTGTTTTCACAGGACATTGTAACAAATGTTTCTCCAAGGATAATACGTGGAACTACCACAGGTCCCATGTATGGTCCAGGTCAAGGTTCCTTCTTGAACATTGAGCTCATAAGTGAGAAAACAGCAGCCTATTGGTGCAGGAGTATTACTGAACTGAAGTCAGACTTCCCTGACAAAGTAAGTCAGAATGAACTACAAAGAAATTAATGTGTCAAGTAGAGATAATCAATACATTTTTTTAGAAAATTGGAAGTCGTTTGAAAAGCAATTGCAACCATGGGGCATATATTTATTCATTCACTCTTCTGATAATTAGAACTTTCAGTATTTTCTGTTTTTAAAATTCTGTGAATATGTTTGACCAAACGTGAAGGAGGATAAAGAAAATGTTTATATACTGTGAGAAACAAAGCATCTGCTCAAATTACTCTGACAGTAGCACAGAACTGTCCCTTTTTCTAGCTTTTGTTTACAGATGCAATGCTTATCATGAGGTAAATACTTATACATGTACTGTACTTCAGTGTAGCCATGAAATTTATTCCAAAACTCTCATTATTAGAGAGATAAATCTGTCTCTAAAGAAGGGTAGATTTTTTGTTCTGTGTTATAAAGTGCTGGAGGTAAATAGGGCTTGCAGAAATAATTTTATCCAAATCCCCATTTTTGATGCCTTCCTTTGAGAAACTGATAGTACAAGTTATATTATACTATATTCAGCAACAACAAAAACAAAATGTTCTTTCTAAAACCTGACTGAGTGAAAACCATGAATGAAGAATGACATTTTGGCAGAAACAAGAAGAAAGCAGATTTAAAAATACACAAGAATTATTAGCTAGTGATTACAGTAAAGTAAATAATTTTATTATTGTAAATATTAAAAAGAAGAAAATATATTTGCTTTTGCATTGTAATGCAGCAGTTTAAAGGCTGAATTCAAACATTAATATGTTTAGGAATTAAAGCCTTTGTTACTGTTAAAGTAGTTGTCAGTTCTTTTGGTTGAACTCTGGAATCAAAGGGGTTTATATTAACATTATTCAAATTTTAGCTGCATTATGTTTCAATTTCAGAGAACCATGACAGAAATTGAACTGAACAGCAGTTAATCAAAATAAATGATCAATTTATTTTCTGCAGGGGTTGAACCCTGGTTTCATTTCATTTTTGTTTTAAATACCTAATTCTTTCTTTTCTTCTCCTACATAAATATTTACATGGATATTACAATGTTTACATGGATAAAGCATTGGGAAAAAAAAGCAGATTTAATGTAATTACATATATGGTTCCTTCAGGATGTTTTTATTTTGTTTTGACACTGTTGAATGATTTGCATGTAAGCATTCATAAAATATTGCAAAAGGGGAAAAACCATCTGATTACTAGTATGAAAAATCACCCACATACATAAACGGGTAAAGTACTATCCATAAATATTACTATGAGGCAAATCTCAATATATTATATTGTTTTGATATAATGATATCTGCACAGTATTAAAATTATTGACATATTGTTTTGTTAACTAATAGTGTTAGAAATAAAGAAGAGAAATAAATATCAGTGTTAATTACAATTTAGGATATTGATATAACAAGCATAAAATTATTTGACACCATATAAAACAGTACATAATACAAGGAAAAAGAAACTGCTGCAGTTTCATCAAAGTATTTCTTGTACAATGAAGGTTTTGAGCTTGAGCTAGTTACGTAATATTGAAGTCTCCATTGGATATTGCATACACACCCACACAAAGATTTAAGAAAAGGGGAAAAAAGATAAAATAAGCAAGATCAATTCAACAAGAATTTTGACCTATATAGTCATTTGGAATTGTGAAGTTTATTTGGTTAGATTTTTTTCCCCAAGTATTCATGAATTTTTCCTAACAGAATGAAAATAAAAAAGAATTGGTTGTCAATTGTATCCATGAACAGTCGATGCAAGTGAAAATCAGACTGACAAAAGAAATGTTGTAATATCTCAGATCTTGATAAAAGGATAAAAATCTTGCAGATGTCATCACATAAGAGAAAACTAAACTGATTCATTTACTTAGTTAAATCCTTAGTTCTAAAAATAACTAATCTTGTTCTAAACAAATTAACTAGCCAATACAACAAGAACTACTTTTTAAGCTGACATATAGATTTGGTGTTGGTTACCACTACAGATATTTGAGGTTGGCATTATATTTAGTCTTCATATAAATCAGAATACCATTATTCTTTTTCCCCCCAACTTTTCTAGTTTAGTTCTTGCCCGAAAAGATATGCCAACATCATTTAAAATAGGTATTTGGAGAAAAATGCATTTAGAAATATAAACATTTAAATATATATTTTTGTAATATAATGTAGACTGTATGTTACATGTATGAAAACAGAACTTTGCAATAGGGAGTGAGCGTTCACAGTCACAAAACAGCAAATGAACTAGTATGTTTTTGGATTCCTGAATATTATAAATTAGAAAGATTGCATACTTTTCTGAAATTCACTTTACAGGAACAAGCCCATTTATGACTCAATTATGATGTATTTATTTGGATGATATCCTGCATGTTATAGATCAGAGGCATTATGTTTTTCATCTTAGGGTATTTTATTTTACATCTTAGGGTATCTTAGCCATTCTTTCTCATAGTGCACAAACTGCTAGAGAAACAAAAAAAAAACGTGCCATAATTTGTTTTCCTCAGAAAATAGTATATATGTGTGATAAGGTCTTGAGAGAAAGAAAAGAAGGTTCAAGAGTTCCATTCCATAAAGTTCCTATGAGTTTACCTCAAGTTACAAGACTGCAGTCTTCTGAATCGTCTGTTTATGTTCAAAGATCTTTTTATACAAAGAACAGTAGGGCATATTGGAGATTTATATTTTCAGTGTAAAGTACTATTTACTTAGAGCACAAGATGTTGGTCGTATTGGATGGGAACACATTTCACAGTTTTATGATAACTATAAGCACATCTTGAAACACATTGCCTCCAAGTGTAAAAAAAAGAAGAAAATGAAAGCCATTTTTGAAACATTCTACCAGGCTTCTTCCAGAAAATGAATTGAGAGCTTCTTTTGATTATTGAGAAAAATAAATCCTTAATGGCTGGAAATAGCTTGAGTACTTACATCACAAGGTCTTAACAATTAGGCTAATGCTTGTGCTGAAAAATCCTATATAAAGGAATACAAGAAGATTTGCTTGTAAGAAAGAAACTGTACTACATTACAGCTCAGCATTTTTTTTTCTCCTGAAATGATTTCATTACCTATTGTGTAAAAGTGCTGGATGTACCTGTGGTCTTTTGTACATCTGTGTCCTAAGAACATTAATACATTTCCATCCGATTGATTTTGCTAAAAACAACAATAACTTTATTTTCATACAGACTTCCATTCTGCTTATTGTTTTCTTATTCAGGACTGTTCCGAAGTAAGTCCAATTGGGTTCAGTGGGATCCATATAGCTTCAATTATACGGATATAGGATTATAGCCTAAGAGATTATTCTGAACATTAACAGCACAATGTAATGCACATTTGCTCAGAAATGGTCCATTTCAACCTTGGGACTTTCTCCTAAATAAATGAGTATGTAGGTTCACTCTGTAAAAGAAAAAAAAGGAACATTCATTCTCCTAAAATATAAGCAGTATAAACTTTTAATGAATTAAAATGATTCAGTTCAGCAAAAATATCTTTCTATCGTGATTTCATTTCATTTTAAAACAATGACAACCTGGGTACATTTATTTTTTGATTTCCTACAAATCAAAGTCCTGCTGAGGTTACAACTCATGGTTTGTGCCTTAGGTGATCAAATGTTCGTATCCCATCATTAATCCAAAATAAATATTCTGTCCCTCAGCTCACTGGCTTATAGAAAATTGAAGTAAAGAATTAGTGTTATGTAGAGTTAAAAAGAGAAAAAAAACCAAGAGAAAAATATGTAAGTGCTGTTAGTAAAGATTTGTCCACCTAACAGTAATGAGAGAAAAACATTAGAGTATATAGAACAGCAATGGTTTGAATGTTCAAGGCTATTTTTCTAGACTTATTTTAGTAAAATAATAGAACTTACATGCAGACTTTTAAATTGGAACCAGCTTATCTATGGACTGTTCCCTTTTCTTTTCTGCTAGCTCTGGAATAACGCTGTGACATAGTAACAGTTAAAAGTATGCTGATTCCTTTAAGTTAAGTCTAGAGAGTCACGTAAAGTAGAAATGGCAGAATTAGTGGTGCTCTAGAACTTGCTCAATTTAAACAAAACGTATACCTTTTAATCACTTTAGAAATAAATTCATATTTCCAATTTTTAACTGTTCTTCCTTAAATTCAATCAAATACTTCTGTTATATTTAATGTGTGCATTTGTCTCAGAGTAACACACACATTTGGATTCAAACATAACAGTTGAAAGTTAAATTTAGTTGGATAACAAAACATTAACTCTCTTTTTTAACATGGCTATGATAACACTTTCCCTAATACCCTTAGCGCAGTATAAGGCATGCAATTTTAATTTCATGAAATAAAAATTGCTTTAAATGTTTGTTTTATAGCAAAACATCATCTTATGATTTTGTACTTAAAGCTATTAAGCATTTCCTTGAGTCTCAAGTTTTGTCATAAAATGTCTTTTTTTAAATGACAAATGTATTAAATAAAACCAGTCTCCTCATATTCTTATATCTCACCAACTTTGTCCGATAGTATAGTTTATTAAGGACCGATGCGGTGATCTGAGAAAGTATCTGTTGCTTTTTTTTTTCTTTATAGAAGAATCTCACGGACTAGGCACAAGGGAAGTCATAAAAGTAATTCAATGGTTAACTTTCCCTACAAATTGGATAAGGTGTAAGGAATATAATGTTATTGATGAAATTATTGGGCTTTGTATTTTTTTCTGGGATTAAGTCACCTTGATTATATATGGTAAACTTTTTTGTTTTATTAAAGCTTAGTTTTAAATTCTTAAGGATTTCATTCACATAGTTTCTTGATCTAAAATTTACTAATTGAAAAAGAAGGCTAGCGTTTAAAGGAAGGATTCTAGTTCATTCAGCCTCTCCTAATAGGAATGGAGTAATGGAGAAAACCAATCAGTGTAGATAATACTGGCAAGTTAAATGAATAGTCTGACTACATAAAAAATATCTTTGTATG